TTCTCTGGGAAACCCCCACCGCCGAGATTCCCTCCCGGGTTTAACCCGCGGCACCGGGTGTGGGCCCGCGGCCGTGTCTCTGGGATTCAGCCCCGACCCGCCCGAGTCTCCGCCCCTCCTCCCGGTCTCGTTGCTCCTTCAGCTCCCTGGTTGTGGGGCTTCTGTTCAGTCAGATCTCAGGAGGCTCTGAGTGTTGGTTGTTCTGTATTTTAGTTGTAATTTTGATGTGGTTGCGGGAGGCGGCGGGTGCAGCTGTTACCTACGCTGCCATCTTGTTTCTCTGGGATATTCTTAATTTGGGAAAACTTATGTATATCCAAACCCTACAGCATATATCACGCTAAATGAATAAACCTCAGATAGTTTCCTTTAAGATAAGAAACAGGATTAAGGGAGTCATTATCACCACAAATGTTAGTACTGGAAATCCTGCCTAACACTGTCAGAAAAAGAAGCAAAGGGTATAAAAGGGGGAAAAATTATATCCCCCAAACATTTGAAGACCAAACAAAACACCTCTAAATAATCTAGGGATAAAAGAAAAAAACAACCATAAAAGAAATGTAATATTCTGATTCAAATGACAATGAAAATAAAATTTGTGGGATGCATATTAAGCAGTGTCTCTCACGGGGAAATGTACAGGTTTAATATGTTTCTTAAAAAGGTTTACTTAATGGGCAGATACGTGCAAAAAAAACGAAAGTAGGCCACCTTAAACCATACACAAGAATAAACTCAAAATGGATTAAAGACTTAAATGTTAGACTTAAAATCATGAAAATCCTAGAAGAAAACATAGGCAATAAAATCTTGGACATTTCTCGTAGCAATATTTTTTTCTGACACATCACCTCAGGCAAGGGAAACAAAAGAAAAATAAACAAATGAGACTGCATCAAGCTAAAAAGCTTTTACACAGCAAAGGAAACCATCAACAAAATGAAAAGGCAACCCACTGAAGGGGAGAACATTCACTGATATATCTGATAAGGGCTTAATATTCAAAATTTGTAAGGAACTTATAAAACTCAACACCAGAAAAACAATCCAATTAAGAAATGGGCAAAGGGCCTGAATAGACACTTCTCCAATAGACATATGAAGAAATGTTCAACATCACTAACCATCAGAGAGATGCAAATTAAAACCACAATGAGATATGACCTCAATGAACCTGTCAGAATGGCCACCATCAACAAATCACGTGTTAGGGTGTGAAGAAAAAGGAACCCTCGTGCACTGTTGGTGGGAATGCAGACCAGTGCAGCCACTGTGGAAAGCAATATAGTTTTCACAAAAAATTAAAAAGGGAACTGCCTTATGACCCAGCAATTCCACTTCTGGGAATATATCTGAAAAAACCTAAAACCCTAATTTGAAAGAACATATGCACCCCTATGTTCACTGCAGTGTTATTGACAATAGCCAAGATCTGGAAACAGCCCAAGTGCCCAGCAGTAGATGAGTGGATAAAAAAGCTGTAGGACATTTACACCATGAAATACTATGCAGCTGTAAAAAACAAGGAAATCTTACCCTTTGTGACAGCATGGATGGACCTGGAGAGTATTATGCTAAGTGAAATGAGCCAGTCAGAGAAAGCCAAGTACCATATGATCTCACTCATATGTGGAATCTAATGAACAATGTAAACTAACACAATAGAAATAGACTCATACAGAGAACAGACTGACAGCTGTGAGAGGGAAAGGGGGTTGGGTGAGAAGGGTGAAGAGATAAGGAAAGAAAAAACCTCAGACACACAACATATGGTGATTATAAGGAAGGGGTGGGTAGGGGAGTAGGAGAGGGTAAGGGATAAATGGTGACAGGAGTATTCACTTGGAGCGGTGAACCCAATATAATATACAGATGATGTATTATAGAATTGTATACCTGAAACCTACATAATTTTATTAACCAATGTCACCCCAATAAAATCAATTTAAAAAGGTTTAATGAAAACCAATTATCTAGCATCAAAAAATCCACAGAAGAAAAGCAAATTAAAACTAAAATAGAAAGATGGAATTATAGAGATGAGAGAAGGCAATAAAATAGAAAACAAACAATGGATAAAATTAACAAAGTCAAAAGTAGGTTCTTTAAAAGATTAATAAGATTGATTAAATCCCTAACAAAACTGGTCAGGTAAAAAGTTAAGAAAAGAGCTATCAATAAAAACTCAAAAACTCAAAAACCCCAGCAACATTACAGATCCCATAGTCACAAGGATAATCAGAATATTCTGGACAACTTTATGACAAATATTGGCAATTACATAAAATGGAAAAATTTCTAAAAAGATACAACACCAAATTTGACAAAAGAAATAGAAAATGTGAGTAATTCTGTATTTGTTTCAGAAACTGAATTTGTGATCCAAAATATTCCCAAATATAAACTGTAGGCCCTCATGACCTCAATGATAAATATTGCCAAAATATTAAAGAAGAAATAACACCAACCTTACATAAACTCTTCCAAAAAAGAGGAAACACCTCCCAAATCATTTTATGAGGCCAGTATAACCCAAATGCCAAAATCTAACAAAGACATTGTAAGAAAATGAAATTACAACCTATCTCCTTCATAAGCACAGATACATGAGAAGTCCTTAACCCAATATGACTACACTGAAGACTACAAAACATTCCTGAAATTAAAGAAGACCTGAAATAAATGGGCAGTTATATCACGCTTAAGGATTAGAACTCAAGATTGTTAAGGTATCAGTTCTTGCCAAATTGATCTAGATTCAGAACAATCCTAATCCAAATATCAGGATTTTTTCTTTTAGAAATTGATCAGATGATTCCAAAATTTATATGAAAATACAAAAGAGCTAGGATAGCCAAAACAATCTTCACGATAGAGTTAGAACTTATATTACCTGGCCTCAAAACGAAGTGTAAAGCTATAGTAATCAAGATGGTTTGCTACTGGTATGGATAAATGAATGGATACAACAGAGTCCAGAAGTAAACACACACATATATAGTCAATTTTAACAGAAGCACCAAACAAATGAAATGGAGACAAATATTTTCAACAAACGACGCTAAACCAAACGAATACCCGCATGGGGATTAAGAGGAAGGAGTATCTTCAGTCCTTGCTTCACAGCCTCCACAGCAATGAATCTGAGATGGATCACAGACAAACATAAAAGACTATAATGCCTTCAGGACAAAACAAGACAGTATCTTCATCACCTTGGAATAGACCACACACAAAAATCACAGAACCATAAAGGAAAAGAATATCGGACTACATCAAAAATGAAGTACTTCTCCCTGAAGTCACCATTAAGAAAGTACACAGGTAAGCCAGACATCTTTATGTAAAGGGTTCCAGCCGTTCTGTAACGAGACAAGCAGCCTAAAGAGAAAAATAGCTGGAGACATGAATGAACATTTCAGGTAAAAAGGACCAATTACCAATGAGTGTATGAAAAGGAGTTAAACATCATTTGTCATCATGCAAATTAAAATCATGGGATACATCTGGAATTCTCATAACTGTACACAAATGTACACAAAATGGCACATACACTCATTTTGGAAAATTTTTTGAGTTTTTTATAAAATTAAACATAAACCTACTTTATGACCCAGCAATCCTACTAGTTATTTCACAAGAGAAATGAAAACATGTCCACAAGGCATGTTCACAATAACTACCCCAAACTATAAACAACCCAAGTGTCCATAAACAAGAGAAAGGATAAATAGTGGGGTGTTCATGAAGTGAAACACTACTGAGCAGCAAAAACAAACTATGGATATATGTAACAACATGGATGAATCTCTCACATTTTGAGCAACAAAGCCACAAACAAAAGTGAACACTTTGTATAATTCCATTCTTTTTTAAATTCAAGAACAGTAAGATTTACCTATGAAAAGAGAACAAAAAGAAATGGTTGCCAAGGGCAGGAAGGGAGTAAAAAGTACACTGGGAACCAGCACAGGGAACTTTCTGGGATGATGGGGTCTTTATCTGGACTGGGGTAGCGATTATATAGACGGATAGATTTGTAAAAAATGACAGTAGAATCCTAAAACCTATGCACTTGGTGGTCTACAAATTTTACTTGAATATAAACCATTTACCTAAAAAATTAGTATTAAAAAGTCTGATTTATCAGAGGGCCCTCTGCCATTCCCAAAAAGAGCTGTTCAGAGATGTGGACTTATCTGCATTTACAGTAGCTTTGTCCTTTGAGTCAGTTCTTAAAAATAAACCTTGAGTTGTTTTTGAATTCACTAAATTTTATATGTTGCTCATAAAATTTTATTTTTTGTCCTAAATCTTATTAAGAACATGATCCATCGTATTGTACAATAAAAGTTAAAGACTGAAGCTACCCTAATGAGTGTCTCAACCCTCACCTCCTTTAAAATAAAAAAAGACGCTTAGATAAACTGACTTGTCCAGGATCACATTCATTTCAGAAAGAAAAGCACATTACACATATCACACATTGTCGTCTTTTGCAAATACTAACACTTGGGCAAAAGTAACAGCTTACCTTTTTAACAAAAGTTGGTTAAACAATTATGTGTGTTTTAACTGGCAACCAAGGACGCATTAGGAGTAACAACTCTCTTTAGAAGGTTAGAATACTTTATATATAGATATACATTATACCTGTTATATTTTAAAGAAAGCACATATTTTCTATGGACCAAGGCATTTCCAAATCCACACTGGCTGGCTATTCATGAACGATTCAGTTTCTAGTTCAAGTGTGTTGGTTTTCACAGTTGGTGCATTTCTACTGGGCCACTTTTCTGGAAATGTACTGATGATCTATAAAGCCCGGGTAGCCAAAGAACGTGTAGATTTTTGAAAAATGCTGTCAGTGAAAAGCATAATGGTATTTCTGTATGATAATGGAGGGTAAGTGTAGTAAATGTAACTCAAATTTGGCAGTGCTGGTTGTGATGAGCTGAGAGGCTTAATGTGCTTAAATGATGAAAAAACACTTTTAATTATATAGGAAAATTTTTATTTGATAAATATGATTTCACAAACTTTAAAAAATCACTGAGATCTGTTACAATAAGTAACTACATTTACTAAAAATGCAGAAAAATTTTATAGGATTATATTAGACAGCCACAGTGTCTGAGGTCCAAAATTTTAAACTAAGAGTTGTTATAGTATTTACAGCTACTAGTTCCTCATAAAAATCTAACAGTCTCCATTACTACAAACATATCATTAATTATGATATATTTCTGTAGGAATATCATTCAAGTTATCTCACATAAACAGCATATTAATAATGTTCTATTTTTATGAAAATAGATAACTCATTTCAGGATAGAAATAAAAATGTCTCTAAAAGGGGACCCACAATTAATAAAACATGTTTTATATAACTCTTTGGTGTGTTAGTTTTATCAGTACCTGCTTATATCAGACCCCAAATTGATCTTTACAAGAAAAACACAAACATGAATGATTTTCCCTTTTCTCCCAGATCCCAAAAACTTTTCAGACTAGCATACTTTAAAAACTTTAAGTATTTACAATTTTTTACTGCACCCAACTCCTGCCTATCAGTGTATCAAGTTTATCACACAAGCCCAATAGCCCAATTTCACAATCTTATGCAGCAGAAATGACCCTGGTCTGAGTAAAACTATTTCCAATCAGGGTGATGTGCCTCTGCTTTATCTTCTAACCAGGACAGTGCCAGAGTTTGGGTGAGGTCTGGGAAGCCTTTGGACATCATGGAAATTAAAACCCAAAGTGGAGGGTATTTAAGAGATTTTAAAACTGTAAATTCTCCTTTCTTTGTTCTCAACCCAGCAGCAAACCTATAGTTTTCCTGGCCCACATTCTACTCCCCCTCTAGGGTGAACCTAAGGCTTGCTAAAGCTGAGGCAGGGTGCTGAGTCATAGAACAGCTGATGGGCCATTCTGGAAACTGACTTGGTGCTTGCTACTATCTTCACGGATACAGCCTTCAAGGCAAGCAAGTGAGGAAAATACATCAGATTCGAGACCAATCATTAATTAGTAATAACACATGTAGCATCCTACTCTGGTCTTGGCAGAGAAGAGTAAGTTAATTAACATCGTGCTTTCCAAAGAATTTTAAAGAAATATGCAAAGGGGACATTTTCTGTGATTATTGGTTATATAGTAATAGTTTTACAATATGAGTATTAGCAACAGAAAACTACTGGAAGCTTATAGACAACACTGGTACTTTCTTAAATAAATAGAAGAAAACCCTTTTTTTACAATTATAAGAAAACCTTCCTTTAACTGGAGTAGGTTTTGAACAACAGAGTAGGATGAGCATTATCAGAGGATGCATTTACTTTTTTTGACATAAAGTTCTTAAATAACTTCAAATAGGGATGCAGGAAATACACTGATCACACCTTAAGCACCATGCAGGTTAGCTGCAGTTGGTCAGAGCCTGCTCGATGGCTTCATGGTCCTTCTCTAGTGTCAGTCAGTTTAGTTGATGGCAAATAAACACTGGAAGGCAGATGTAATGCAGGCCTACAAATGTTATGTGAACATTTTATAAGACATTCTAAGAAAAGCAAATTCCGTAATACTCTCCATGAAACTACTCTACTGAATATTTTTAGCTATATTTCCTTTTCTGGAACATGAATTGGTAAGTTACACATTGTAGATTTTATTATCCCTTTTACATATTTCCAGAATCTTCCAAATCTTCCTAAAGCAATTTTGGAATATCTGAGTTAAAGAAGGGCTATTTATGAAAATTAGTATTTAGGCTGAAATTCATAACCCAATATCCTTGCATTATTGAAACAGACAAAGGTTATGTTAGTAGGAAAATACCAGTGAACAAAGGCAAAGTCTTAATTCTTGACTATTGCCTCCAAGCCCAATTCAGGAAGTTTTATATTCATGAAATGGGAAGGGATGGAGGACTGCACAATAAATCTACAGAAAAGAATTATACTCTCAACTGTATGGAAAACTTCGGCAAAACCTTATTTAACCATTTCCATACAGTTTAAAATGTGTATGTGTCAATCATTATATATGCTTAGGGCTGCGTAACAGTTCTTAAACCAATAATCATTTCCAAATTTTAAAACAATATTACTTGTGGTCAAAACAAATGACCATCTACATGATAAATTTAGGATATAAATTAAGTATTGAGGTGTAGTGAGTTAATACTGAATACATACCTAATCAATCATTCTTAGCATTTTAACATATTGCTGCTATTAACCCATAAAACTTAGCACTTTAGACTTTGTTTCACTTAGTCTATAGCCATACCTGAAAATATACCTTATAATGAAACACGGGGTAGATTTCACTTTCCTGTGCTAGTCTGCTGTAACTTAGATAACTAATCTAACCTAAAAATAACAAGATTCTTGTCTGAGATTCTTTATTCTACTGTTTAGCTTACTGAAAGGCAAGAGTAATTCTAAGCCACAGAAAGAGGCCTTTCTCTTTTTATTGATTTAATTATCCTAACATTTTGATTAAAAGTATTTGCAATATTTAAATACTGTCCAAACTTGTTTTTATTGATATAGTTGAACTTTACAACAGTGTCATAAAATAAACAGTTTTCAGATAGAGAAAAAAAGCAAATTTAAATATATTAACCAGATTAAAGCATGCAAAAGATCCAATGATAAATACATCAAATAATAATATGCAAATGTATCTAATTGACCCATTTTATATTCTGTCATAAAAATATGAGTAAACATCAATTTGAAATTCGGTGAATGGGCTTGATTCTCGAATTATGGATAAAATATGCTACACCCTTTGCATGTATATGGTTAATTTTACTGGTGTGTTACAGTAAATTAAGAGAAGTTTGGTACTGGTATATATTTACTACCCACAGTGCAGTCAATAATGGTTAGAAATGCATTCTCCTAATTTTCTCTATGAACTTAGAAAGCACTAATGAATTAACAACATGGGTCACTAAGGGACCAAAATTCCTTACTATTCACATTTACTTTTCCCATGAAAAGCTTCAAATATAACTCTAATAAAAAAATAGAGTTTTCAAGGCAAACTTTTCAGCATAATTTACAGAAGCAGATTTAAATAGAAGACTCAATAACTAAGCTAATATTCAAAAATACAATTAACTAGGAATTATTTTTCTACCTTGATATTAAAATATGGTGGCCTCAGCAACAGGCTGAAATTCCATTAGGAATTCCATAAGCACAAGGGACAACCCAAACAAAGAGATGAAAAATGTCTCTTTATTCACAAATGTTAACATGTTCAGATTTAAATTAAAGGGGTTGAGAGAGTGGTTCATGTTAATGCTTTTTGTTTGTTTGCCATTGTAAGTCTGAGTGGGTACAAACTACTCCAGAGACTTCAGAAAGTAATTATGCAGAGCTAGTGTGGTCATTACCAGGATGATCACACTGAATTTTGGGAAAGGAGGTGAATGGTTGCCACAAAGTACTACTGCTCTTTTAACATGTAGATGAATCCATTGTGGAGAGAGTCAAGATGCTCCTGTCGTTGGTATAGAAAGGATCCGATGCACTCCATGATCTAAAGTAACAATAAGAGAAAAGTTTGGCTCACCAGGACCTATGTTTTAATTGAGAAAAAAATTTACTCTAAAACTTAGGACCAAAATGCAATTTGAGTATTAAAATAATCACTGATTGACTCATTTTTAAATGCTAAGAGGAAGTTCTTCATACCAACATTGAATAACCAAACATTCCATTTGTATTATACAAAACTTGGAAAGAATAATGCTCTAGTCATCATAAAAAATAATAGCCAAAATTTAGACATTCATTAGCATTAAAACGTTTTCTATAGGTAGTAGAATATAAGACACTCTTAAAATCTTAATTCAATAAAAAATAAATATGTTATTAAAAGTTACACACATTCAGTTTTACTAAAAAGCAACTAGGCTCTATTTTGACATCACAGAAGCAAACAAACAAAAATCACACTTACCAAACACTTTGGAATGAAATAGCAGTATGTTCTTAATTTCTTTCTTTTTAGCTATAAATTCTGTTCTAAAGATTTTAGCATAATGGCTTAAATGTCATGAATGATTTATTCAGTAGGCATCAAAGACACCTCTAAGTCACTAGAGTTTTCACAATTAAGAACAAATGATCCTCTACCGATCGGAAAAGTTAACTACTGTCTGAATGATAAAGCCCATAAGTAATTCATTACATAATAATTTATTTGCAGCTGTATTAATTTAAGCTTAACTAACTAAAGATCAAAAACAGTCTGTCATGCTTAAAACAACCTAACCTACTTTAAGGATTACCAAGTCAAAGGTGGCTTTTCTTAGGAGACTGAAAGAATTTAACAATAAATACATCTTATGTAATTTTATAGAGTTCCCACTTTCCTTATACAAAGACGTTAGAGGAAGAGACTAGCATTTAAAATAACCCATTTCACTTTTATCAAATATCTGCTGTTTTCTAAGAGACTCTGTATGTAGTTCAAATATAAATCAATTAAGTAAGCAGTCATAATGAAGTTTGGAACCTAGAATTTTACAAAGTTGGCAAAGAGGAAAACAAACAAACAACAACTATACCAGTGGTTTGAGAATTTACTAGTTTCCAGAAAACCTTAAACAATATCTACCTTAGTTTAAGGAAAGGCTTGTTCACTATCCTCTCTCTAGCACCTAGTACTGCGTCTGGGACATAATTGGCACTTAGTATTTGTAAAATATATGAAAGAAATGGAACTATGAACATTTTTTAGAGTAGGTATTTATGCAAGAAAAATTGTGCTCAGACATATATGATAAAACATAAGTATGAACATCCCAATTATCTGGAGTCAAGTTTCCACTCCCAAATTGCCAATATTTTTAATATCAAGTTTTCCTCTTTGCAATCATTGCTTACATAGAAAATCTAATTAGGTAAGGTTCCTCCATTTTTTATCTTTTCAAAGCACACATGTGCATCCATATGTTAAATATCATATTTGACAGAACATTAAATACCTGAATTACATATCAACTATTAACTCTTTCCTATTTAGTAAACAGTTTCAATTAGGATAAAGTAACTGTTGATCTCGCACATACAGAAAATAATTTATTGCTAAAGTGCAGCCCTTTACGGTACAACATGGCATATCCCTTATACAGCACCATGATGCTACCTTTGAAACCAAGCTTGCAATATGGCATATTTCTTTGACAATATCAATTAATAAAATGTAAGTAGAATTTTTATGCCTGGATAGTAAAAGTTTAATCAGCAGAGAAATCTGTCCTATAAAAGCACTAGTTATACTTCTCAAGTGATGCCCTCGTATGTTTAATATGTTAATGGAATAGGCCAAGGGCTTCTACCTGGTAACAGAGGTACCAGCCTTGCCCTACGTTTAAATCAGACATGAAATAGAAATGCGGAATAGAGGCTAGTCCAAAATCAAAACAGAAATGCCAAACATATTTCACTAATACAATTACATGTAAAAAACAGGAACAAAACTCTACATACCAAAATAACTTTCAAAGTTTAAATATACTGTTAATGGAACTACGGCAATTTTCATACAGCCCTTTGAAAAGCACCAAGTGGTTTTGCATATTGTATGATTTTGACCACTGGGGAAAAAAGAACAGATCTCAAAACACTTTTTAGATTATTAATTTGAAGAAAAAGAAAAGGAGATAATGAAAATAGTAGATAATTATAACCTTGGATGTTGGACAAAATTGGAGAGATATTTACAGCCTGTCAAATAAGATATTAATTACTGTTAAAGGTATTATTAGGAAAATAAAAAAATAAAGTCCTGCAAAAAAGAATATGGTACAATTCTAAGTGAAAAGAAGTACAGATGATAACAGCCACCTTCCAGAGAACAGGCTGAAATAAATCCTATAATATCCGGGGCAGGTTCAAGAGGAGTAATGCAGTGAAAAAAGGTCTATGTAAAAATAATGGAGACATTACCCAAATAATTAATACCAAGAAAATGGGAATATATATAAGCAGAAAAATATTTCTGGTTCATTTAAAATCAATTCTAGTTTTTTTGTAATAGTGAAGACGTATACTGTCATTAAAGAGAATTTCATGTTGAAGTAGAAATTTTTTAAATTCTGTGAATTTCTACAATATTCTCTTATTTTAATTCCCACCTTGGTTCTGTGCGATGAAGTGGTCTTAGTAAGTAAAATAATATGCATTAGGTCCTTCTGGAACTTCCTTTGGGAAACTTGTTGGCCTGGTACATGACAAAGCTGCTTTCTCATAATGCATTTTACAATACAACTGTGTAAGTCATAACATATAAGTCCCAATAAATTTAACTGCTAATAGTAATTCTTTTATGTGGAATAAAATTACTACAAAATGATATCACAGCATTATGGGGATATTTTTCATTATGTTATGACAAACAAATGGGACTGAAACCATAGACATTATATTAACATAAAAATGCTAATTATAAATGCAACTGTACCATAAAGACATGGCCACAACTAAAGGCAAAGCGGGAACTACTAAGTTCACCAGTAAAAGTTACCTGAATTTTATCATACATGAATGATATCTACTCATCATTTTTAAAACACAAAGCTAACCAAATACTAAAAATTCCTTTATCAACAGAGAAGAGTAGTCCTCTTCCACCCTTTATTCCCTGCTCTTGGTATACTTTCCAACCTTTTCCAAGCTATGGCACAGGTAGAAAGTGATGCTATTTACATGGCACACTGTGGGCGATGGAAAACCACCATCTATCCCTTCATGCACACCAGTGCACTGCTGCTCTAATTTTAAAAATATTATCATCTACCTAAAGAACACAAGAGTGAAAAGTTATCTTTACTCCTTAATATCCCCTAAAGAATATGCCTCTTGGGGACATGTATGAAGAAATGAATACATTTCACTTTTAAATAAATTTAAGTGGAATATACCAAAAAAAATTGTACTGTTTGTTATGACCCAGAAAAGCACTGATAAATCTTTTAAGAAAAAGATTTGGGAGGAAACAAAAGTGCAAAGGTTTTAATAAACCATAATTTAAAGAGCCTGTTCTAACTTATCAACTTTTAATTAGACCATGAGTACCGAGTAAAAACTTAAAAATCACAACTCATTTTAAAACCTCATTACAGAGATAAAAAGGGGTAGGAGAACAGCAATACAGCCTTGTGTGTTTATAAATACCAGGCAGTCTCAAATGACTGACTAGAAAATACAGACAAAGAATAAGAAAAGCAAATCTTTTGATTTTACTATTATGTGTAGATTATTTTGTAAATAGAAAAACCAACCAAACAAAAATATATAGGAAATAAAACAGTAGCATAGGTATAATAAGAAAAAGGTATAAAAACCAAGTAAGAGTACCATATACACACTCCTATTTACCACATTTTAGAAAGATTATGAAGCAAAATTTTTTGTTCATTAGATGAAAGTCTCTTCAAAGGTGCTTTTTCTTCCTTTGTTAGTGAAAGAATCCCTTACCCAAAGCCACAAAGTGAAATCTACCACCAAAAAGTGCTAATAAATAGTACACTTCCTGCTTCAGTTGGTAAAACCAGCTGCTGATTTATTAGGTATCTAGAGATGAATGTTCATCTGTTCCAGTTTTTAGGATACTCATCTGCAGCAAAGGCTACTTAGAGAAATTTCACACCTGCTGACATGGCCCGGACTACATCGTCCTATTACTCGTTCCAGCATTCTTCCAACAGATGCGCACGCTGTTTCTCCTGAGAAACAGCACATGGAGTCCACGCACTTGATACTTGAATTTTTTTCAGTAAGCTGGAGAAGTTGAAGCAGAAAAAATTATAGATTTAGACTTCCAAAAAGCATTAAAAATTACAGTAAGCACTTTAAAATTAAAAGTAATGTATATAAATATGTTTTCTATAATATGGAAATGTACAGCATGAAAGGCTTAATTTAAGAGTAATCATACAAAAATATTTAAATGGCACTGTGTCCTAAATTTGAAGTTAAGTAATATAATTATATAAAAACAAGTAGCTGGATATTATTTAAATCTGCAAAGGTTTTGCATATTAATGTCTTAATATTTTATTATGGTCAAAATGACTTACATCAACTATTCAGAAACTTAATGAATTCTAATTCTTGAGTTTTTGTTTAGGTGAAATGCTCCTGCAATTTCAATTAAAATTGTCTAGCAATCAAAAAAATGGAGTGTGAACTATTTTGAAGACTGGGAAATAACAACCAGGCAGGGACCTAAACCCAATCTTTAACAACTACAACAATAATAACAACAAAAACAGTAGCAAATGCTTTGTGTTGTGTTACTATGTGCCAGGTTCTAAGCACTTACATATATTCACTCCATAATTATCCTTGAAAAAAGTTCATGATTTACCTTAAATTGCTGAGCAACTATTAAGTGCCAACTGTGCCTATAATCAGCTCATCTTACTTTTTAAAAAGTAACTGATGGTACATGCATTAAAATCAATTAAACATGTGACTAAGTAGTACTATTAAGATTTAAAAAGAAATTGATTCCTGAAAGTATGCAAGGTTTATATTGATTCAGGTATAAATAACTCAGCAAGATAACTTGAAGTATACTAATAATTTTAATCCTGTTAAATAAGGAAAAAAGTGGTATGACACATAGCTCAGTGAATCCCAACCCTGGTTTTGATAGTCAGGGAGTACCTCTAAGTATCTCAAAGTTTGTCACTTTAAACAAAGTTATTTTCACTCACTTTCCTTTATATATATATAACATACTGCAGAACAAATCTTTCAAAAGTATAAAGGAGAAACAACAAAAAATAGATTCATTAGAGGGTTACAATTCACAAAGGTTGGGAATCACCAAGAGTTGAGAGCAGGCATGGCAAAACAGAGGACATTTGTGGAGACATTCACGATGGACAGAGATGGATATGATGGAATGTAAATAACCTGGCATTCTGAATGAACCTGGTCAACTGAAGTCCAGTAATTCTACCTAATACCAAGCAGCGCAAGTCAAGATAGTTCCTGTTTGGGAATTGCGCGATTGCACCAATGTCCTAGGATCTGCTAAGCACTGAGAAATACCCAAATTTTACTTCTTTCTTTACAATACCCTTGGTTTAGGACTGTTTATGGTATTGTTTCTTAAACTGCATTTTGTGAGATGTTTACAGACATTTCACGAAAAAAGTTCTGTGGCCAATTAAGTTTAGGAAACACTAGTTTAATGAAAGTCTCAATAGACTTTCTGAGTAAAGGATTGTCAATAAGTCAGCATGCATAGCCAGTCTCCAGGGAAGAGCTAGACACCACAATACTCAAACTTGTTTTTTTCCCCAGTAACAGCCCCCAATCCCCAAGGGAACATTAATCAACACCAGTAGAAATGTTAATATTCAGAGGAATAGTTTAGGAAATGCTGGTTTAGGTAATAGGATTTCATCAGTTTCCCAGTTTCCTCTTTGGATCCCTGGGCTCGTTTCTCCATCTCAAAAATCACTCTGTAGGAAACAGTAATCTATAGCTCCCACATAATACTCAAAAGAGAAAGTACAACACCTTAAGGAGGCCGCTAAGGCCCTATATAAACTGACCTGAGGCTGCCTTTCCTGCTCTGCCTCCCAATGCTCTTGTACAGTACGTCTCCACACAGCCAAACAGGCAGTGTTCCCTGTCTGTGGGCATGTGTCAGGGCCTGTCACCAATTAGGGTCAGAATGTTGATTCCTATACCATGTTCAGTATAAATACTATCATCTCCATAAAAATCTCCCTCACCTCTCCAACTATCAGTAATCTCTTTCTGGGTCTATCCCACTGCTTGTTTGCATCACTTAAATGGCACAATCACTTAAATTCAACTTACATTTATTAAGCAAGGCACTGTGCTTAATAAAGGATAGGAGATAAGTCAGGAACAAATAATAATGGCAGTTATACCAATGGAATGTGTACTATGTATGTGCCAGTTCCTATGTAAAATGCTTCTCATGGATTATCTCATTTAAAAATTATAATAACCTTTTGGGATAAGCACCATACTCATGCATTTTATAGATGAGGAAACAGAAGTTAAGAGCTTGCTCAAGCTCACCCAACTGGGGCTTGATTCTTGGCTTCTTTGATTCCAGAGCCCAAACCTCTTTACCATGATATTATATTGCCTTCTTATCATTATGATATGAGGCAGACTACAAATATCAAAAAAGAAGAGGGAAAGCTCAAACCCAGCTGCTGCTGGTAATGGTGGGAGGACATGAAAGATTTGATGAAAAAGATGGCACTTGAAATACATCTTGAAGATTGGATGGGATTTCAGTAGCTGGAGCTGGCGAAGACAGTGAAGAGTAATACTGTGTGCGGAAAGGAGCATGTGATGTGTACTCAGTACGTTTAACCTAAGCAGAGTAGTTGTTACTCCTGCCCCTTTGTAAAAAAGACCAGTGTGACTCAAAGCATGACCTACAGATCTGTGTTGGTCCAAAAACGCTGCTACTGACTCAGGAGTATATAAGTGTTTCTACTCTCTGAGAATAAAAGATTAGAAAATTGTAAGGCAATTTGACAGAACACTTTTATAACTGTTGAATCTAAAATAATTTAAAAGTTGGGGCTTATTTTATCTATCTTTTAAATTTCATTTCCTAGCAAATAATTTTTATTTTATTTTATAAAAGTATTGGTCTGTGATGGACTGGAAATTAAAAAGACAAAACAAGAAAACAACTGGTCCTGCACCACATTTATGGGAGAGCACTGAACTAGACTAGAAATTAGAGAGAGCAAGGAGTTTGTCTGGTTCTTCTTAGCTTAACAACACGTGCTTTGCCTATAGAGCTAGTGCTCAACCAACTGATGGGAATTCACTGAAAATGATATCCATAAGGTCAGCAGCTTTTGAGTATCCACATATGTCCAGAACACTGCTTAGATAATGATCTTGCTTTACATTCATTACCTTTCACTTTAAAAACCTAAGGGCAGGTATTAATATATGGGCAACCTAAGAGAGTAAACATCTTGAAATATAAAAAATAATATAAAGAAATGACTTCTTCAGATCACCTTTTGAACTAAACAAAATGTTTCCTTTTTTTCCCTAAAGAGAAAAAAAACCCCAGCTGCTTTGAAAATGCTAAATGCTAGTTAATTGTGTTTTTGTATAGCTATCTATAGAAAACACCATACTGTTCTCCAGCAACCCTTCAAGCTCTACACCACTTCCCCATATCTCTCTTTGATCTCACCCTCCAGAACCGGGAGCCCAGCCAGAGTACATGTAGCCACTGCTGCCAGTGGAACTGGGGGTGGGATGGGGTGGAGCATTTAGATCTCACTTCATTCAAACGAAGGAGAGGAAGTCAGTACTTTTTTAAAATTACTAATTGTAAACACTAAAAAAGAAAAAAAGCAAAGTGTGGTAATGGAAGTGAGATTCTATCTGGTGGTGCAAAGAAATAACTTTTAATTTATGAGAAATTTTGATTAATTTGCAAGACACACTCCACCACACTTGCTTCCCGGGAACCACCACGTTACTTAGAGCTAGAAGGGCTCCCAAGCAAAACAACTATGGAGATTCAACATGACAATGTATGGCTAACAACAATTTTCATCTTTACAGAACTAAATTCTGGCTCACTGCTCTTATTTCCATTATTTTTCTATCAATTCAGAAGTTTTTCCTATTAGAAGCTTCTACAGAATATCTTCCTTAAATCTTCTAAATGTTAAAAAACTGTCATACATTTCTAAATCTTTTAATCACTTCTACCACATCTTACCTATCAAATCAAATAATGTTTTTAAGTTTAGATAATAATTATCAAACTATTAACCATATTTGTTCTTTTGCCCTTATAACTGTTTTATATATTTGATATTCAAAGTGAGCACCTTATATAGCCTTAAAGAAGATATCTGGAAAGAAGCCTTAAACTATAATTATGGGGG